TCAGGAAGAAACTCTTCCCAGAGAGGGTGGTGAGGCACTGGGACAGGTTGCCCAGAGAAGCTGTGGATGCCCCATCCCTGGGAGTGTCCAAGGCCAGGCTGGATGAGGCTTGGAGCAACCTGGTCTAGTGGAAGGTGTCCCTGCCCATGGCAGGGGGGTTGGAACTGGATGGTCTTTAACTATTCCGTGATTCTGTGGTTCTAGTAAATACTCTGGTGCTCAGTAGGGCACCAGGAGCAGGCGGGAAAGAGAGCGCCAGGCGCTTTGCAGGCGTCTGCCGTGCGTGCTCCTTTCCTTGCATGGATTCCTGTAGTACAGCCCAGTTGTGCAAGGGCTGGGATCAAAAGCCTCCAACGCTTAACTGGATTCATCCAGGTTTTGTGCGAAGGCTTAGATGCCATGAAAACCAGAGGGTTTGCTTTTACTCGTGGGTAGCATGAAGCGTGTTAGACAGGCATACACTTAAGAAGGGCTGTTAGAGCATGGGAAAAACAGCAAGTGAAGCTTTGATAAAGATACAGCGTTAGGAAACCTGCTTGCTGCCTCCCTTTTTCTTCCCCTCTTCAAACGTTTTGCAAATAGTTTTCAGACGGCCGTTTGATCTTAAATTTGCGTGTCAGCGAAGGCTGTGCCATTCTCTCAGGAATTAGCAAATCGCAGAACAGGGTTAACAGGAGTGTGTTGTGGGCTGCTTTTAAATGCCTCCCTTGCATGAGCCTCAAAACTGCCCGGGAAATTTCTTGCTAAAAAGTTTATCTTAAAAAAGACCTGGAGCTATTTCAGGCTCATTGTTTCTTTTTTAGATTGCCTGGGTAGATGTGCATCTGTTTGATGTCAGCGGGTAAATTTTATCCAGAGGAGCATCTGTCGGGAAGCAGGGTGGATGGAAAATTTGGGTATATCTTCTATGCCGTGAGATGTTCTGCCCTTGAAACATGGCTATGAATGCATCGTGGTAGTTGATAGGGTATCAAGAATACATCTCATGCTCAGACTGGGCTCTTCTTAGTTTTTGATTTGTTTTGGGCCATACAATGACTTGGAAACGCCAAGGGCACGCTCAAGCGAGGCTGTGCAGCCTCTTGGCGTCTTGAACTTCGCTGCTGCCACCTGAATCGATTCATAGTTGTTTGGGTGTTTCTCCACTCCCTTCCCATATGTGAAAGGACTTACACAGCCCGGTGGTGTGAAATCCCCCCCAGGGAGGAGCGGCACACCGGTGGGCTTGGCGAGCTGGCTGCTGTGGGGCAGCGGTTAGTACTGGTGTGCAGCGCGAGCCTGGAGCTGAGGCTGGAGGGGACTCTGCCCTTTTAGCAGCGTATTTGTAAACACTGCTGAAAGGCAGGAGAGAAAGTGTCGGCCCCCACGAGTTACTCTGTCACATGAGGGTTTTTTGGGTTTCCGTTGGGATGGGATTTATGAGTGTTTGTCCCCTCTTGAAACTCGTACAGCCAGATCCTGTGTGGCAGGTTGGAAGTACATTGTCTGAGCTGGGGGGGACTTTTTACAAGGGCCTGTAGTGACAGGACAAGGGGTAATGGGTTTAAATTGAAAGTGGGGAGGTTTAGATTGGATATCAGGAAGAAATTCTTCCCGGCGAGGGTGGGGAGGCACTGGAACAGGCTGCCCAGAGAAGCTGTGGATGCCCCATCCCTGGAAGTGCCCAAGGCCAGGCTGGATGAGGCTTGGAGCAACCTGGTCTAGTGGAAGGTGTCCCTGCCCATGGCAGGGGGGTTGGAACTGGATGGTCTTTAAGGTCCCTTCCAACCCAAACCATTCTGTGATCAGAGGTTCCGTTCGTTTGAGGCTGGTTGCCTTCTGGCTTTGCTAAGTTCCTGGGCTGACGTTCGAAAGTACGGAAAAATTCCAGCTCTCCCCTCTGTATACACAGCGGTGCACGAGACCTTAGCTGGCTGGCCCAAATGACTCTGCAGATTAATGATTGCCCAGAAGAACTGGGCCTCAGTGTGAAAGGTTAGGTAGACGTATTCGCTGAGCTCAGTCCCGTCTCTGTGACGGACCTCCTGCGAAGAACTAGGGTAAACGGTGTGGGTTGGGGCTCTTCTGCGAGGAGGGTAGAGCTCAGCAGTGCTTAGCGAGCAGCAAACTGCCCCCCCGAGCAGGACAGCTGGAGAGCAGGACACCCCGAGAGCCGGCGTTGCCTTGGCCTCTAGGTCTGGGCGTACTGCGACATGAGGATCGGGCCGGGAATGAACTGTGGCCAGCGCTCGCTGCAGAAGGGTTGTCTCTCTGAAAGTCCTTGCCCGTGTGGTGGTCAGTTTTGCTCAAACACTCCTTGACACTTCAGGTTGATGTAGAAATGGCTGCTCTTCATTCTTCCGTCTTGCTCAGCCAAGACTAGGCCGGATCCTTCTTTCTAGCAAATTGTATCTGGGAGGTGGGATTTACGGATTTCTTTAGCCTACTGAGCGGTGTTTCGGTGGAAGCTATAAGAATATCTTTGTTGTATTTAAAATAAGTTTCTTTATAGTTTCAAAACCTCGTCAGTGTGCTTTTATTTTATCAATTTACTGTCTAATGATGTTGATGTTAGAAATTCTGAATTTGCTGTGCTAGACTGGACCCCATTAACCTACTGACTTCCAAGAGGTGATTCAGAAGGCAGGTAAAAAGAAAACAATCTTTAAGAAGCCCTTTGTTGCCACCAAAGGACTTAAATAACCCACAGTTATTTAGTGGGATTTTAGTGACAGGTTGTAGTCTGATGTTGGGCCCTCAATACCCTACGTGGTAGAACTAAGCCTTCTCATGACACAGGCTTTAATGGATTTGAAAGCTGAAAGTGGTTTGTACGCACTGTTTTTGCTGATCTTGAAACTTCACGCCTTGAAATGAATTTCAGAAACATTATTGACTACCTGTTTTGCACCCCTCCTCCCCGGTGCTGTGTGGTTTTTACGCATGGGCATTATTGTCTTCAAACGGAGAGGATGAAGAGTTAATTATTCACTTTTCTGAGGAAGTGGAGACTTGTACACATCTAAACCTTGTTTAAACATTGAAATCCACATTACTAGAATTCCCTTGCCCAACAGTTTTTGGCGTGGGCTCCAGCAGTGGCATGGGGTTAAAAATATGCCTGGGAATTGTATGGTCAGCAGATAGGTTCCTAATGAGAGCCAAGCAGCCTAAATCCACCTTGGGAAACAATGGAGGTGGAAGAAGGAATTTTGGTTAAAACTCCGGGCTTTGTTAGGGGATCAAAATTTAATTAAAAATAATCTCCCTTTGACGTGGTTTCCACACAGCACTCCCACTCCTCAGCCCCGGGTGGGCTGTGGAAGAGAGGCTATTCTGAACGGTGAGGGTTTGGTGGTGGGGTTTTTTTCCTGCACGATCAGAGTAACCTCCAAATGTGCCATCCCACATGATCTCTCAGCTGAAGCAAGTATAGTCAAATTCAGTTTAATTCTGAGGCTTAGAAACGGCTTAATTCTGCGCCCACTTTTTCAAATCTCAGGTATTTAGCTTTCTTCTGACGCGCTGCAGAAAGGCAAGCGAATCCAAGGGGAAGGGAAGCTCCATGAGCATCTCTGCGTGCGTGGCCCGTTCTTTGGTGCTGTGCGGGTGGCTGCTGCAGGCCAAGCAGATGCTGTCATCAGGTCTTCAAGCTTCAAGTTTCTCGCAAGAACTAAATAGCCTCTTTCTACCGTTTTTTGGTACCTCGCAGGGAGGAGCTTTGCGGGCACTCTGCACAGTCTGTGGCACAGTTGCAGGGTTCAGGTCCCCTCTGGGTCAACCACCACATCCCTTGGGTGGTTTGGTCATGTGTTTCTTTGCCAGTTGTATCCGGAGCCCTTCTCAGTCCCTGGGGTGAGACGGAGGTGTCTCCTATTCCAAGGAGGTTATAAGCTGTTGGAGCTCGATGACAGTGGGGAGATTGAGACTGGACGTCAGGAAGAAGATCTTCATGGAGAAGGTGGTGAGGCACTGGAACAGGTTGCCCAGAGAAGCTGTGGATGCCCCATCCCTGGAAGTGTCCAAGGCCAGGCTGGATGAGGCTTGGAGCAACCTGATCTAGTGGAAGGTGTCCCTGCCCATGGCAGGGGGGGTGGAACTGGGTGGTCTTTAAGGTCCCTTCTAACCCAAACCGTTCTGTGATTCTTTCCCTGGCCTGTGGGGGTTGCTTGGTGGATCAGAGGGGGTGAGTGTACCCTGCAGTTAGGCAGCTAACCCAAGTATGTACTGAGATCTTGAAACAGCACCTGCAGAGAGGACCGTGGGATCCACCTTCTTCAGGCATTTATTAATTTAGTGATTTATTTTTTTTAAATTATTTCATTTAGGCCCAAACTGCAGTTAAGCCCAGCTGCTGTTTTTGGTAGCTTTGGGCTCCATGGCTTCAGTATACCGAAATCCATGTATCTGAGAAACGGCATGCATGTACTTGTGTGACTGGGATGCGCTCCGTGCCGTGCTGTCGTTGGCACGCGGGTTGTGTCAGGGCGGGACTGGATGCCTCTGACTTGCGCTGGGAGGTTGCGGTTTGTCACCCGGGAGTCAAATGGTACTGTAAAGAGCGACTGGTGCTCGTGCAGGGCCAAGATCTTCAGGGAGAGCCACTGCTCTCTTGCTTTGCCTCTGTTGAAACTGAGAGCTCCCGCTGACTGCAGCAGGAGCTGCGTCAGTGCCGCAGACCCTGCGTGCGCAGGCTGCTCTTCCTTGGAAATAGCAGCTGGAGCTTTGAGCGTGGGGCTGGTGTCGGAGTGCACAGTTGTCTGGTGCCAGCCTACGGATGTGATGGTGACTGCAGGAGGCTGGAGGTAAATCTCAACGTTATCTGTTGTGAAACAGCAGCTCTGTTGTAATTTTGATGTGCAACTCTCTTTTGTTGGGGTTTTCTTCCCCTCAACGTATTACCTTATACATAGTAATCTAAGCTTTCTTCAAGACACAGAGGGGATGCGAAGACCTAGCGTTAAATGAAACTGGAAATTACTTTAATGAACTGATACAGGCTTTTCTCTTCCCTTTTTCAGTTTAGAGTTTCTATACCTTGGAGGGAATTTCATCACTTCCATTCCACCTGAATTAGCAAATCTGCCTTCTCTAAGCTACCTAGTTCTGTGTGACAACAAGATCCAGAGCATTCCACCTCAGCTGGCACAGTGAGTATTTATTGTCCTCGGCCACCAGCTGTAGTTAACTCCTTGAACCTTTTCTTCTGCACGTGTGGTTAAAAGCACCCGGGAGGAGGATCTGTTTGTCCTTCAGTTTGTTAATGTGACTAGACTGGAACAAGAAGATCCTTAGCGTGGTGCGCTGCAGGCAGACCATGAATGTATAATATGGACATCTCAATCAGAGGGTTATGGGGGAAAAAAACCATAACAGTCACCAAATATACACTTTAAGGTGAATTAATAGTACAGGGAGCCCTGAAAAGTACCTGGCAACTCGGAAAAGATTAAACCCCCATGCTACTGTATTCTTATGGTGAATGCTTGGTCTGTTTTTGTCTTTCACCCAAAGTGTTTTTGTGAGTGCCTTTGTGTTGTACCATCCCCTGTGTTCCCGTGGCATTCCTTACTGGCGGGTCTCGGAATGTTTTAGTGGTTGTTAGATCCTTCAGCACAGCTCTAGGGGATATAAGTTCCTGCTTTATCTGTTTCCTAATGGCAGAAAGACAGCACTGCAAGCTCTGTACAGGTAGCCTAAGATGGGAGGTGAAGAATTTTGTGTGCAGCACAGAGTTTTCTGAGTTGGAATTTGATGGCGTAGTGGGATTATTCCTGATGTACAATGTCCAGTTGTCTTATACTGGTTTGAGAGCATCCCTGGACGCTGTGCTGGAGCATTGCTTTGTGCTTCCTGAGAGAGGGAGAACACCTCCTCCAAAAGCCAAAAAACTGCTTGTCACCTGTGCTGATGCTAGCCTGACCTGACCTGGCTTAGCATTTTGAGATCTGGTAGTATCCCAGCGCAAGCTGATGCAGCCGCAAGCAAGGAAAACGCGGGGCTTTCCAGGGCTGGCTGCCTACCAGCAATCATCTTTAATGCATGAGGGAGAGCAGGTGACTTGCTCAGAGTATGGCAGCCACTGGGTACAGCGAAACATTATCTCCCCTGTAAGCACTCGGATTGTATGCTTTTGTTCTGTGCTGCCTTTTCTGGGGGGTGTGGGATATTGAGAGGGACAGAAGCATATTTAACAGTCATTCAAGTTTTCTAGGGCATTCCGGGTGCTGGAGTAGCAGCAGCTCTTTTAGCATGAATTTATGCTTTAAAAAGAAGAAAAGCCAAAGAAAAAGAAATTGGTGGGAGAGGGGAGAGTAATCAGGTCTGGGTGTAATGCAGTTGTGGATTGATTCTGCTTGCACATCTTGACTGGGTTTCCATCTCCATCCTCAGGCTGCATTCCCTGCGTTCCCTTAGCCTGCACAACAACCTGCTGACTTACCTTCCTCGGGAGATCCTTAACCTGGTTCACCTGGAAGAGCTGAGCTTGCGTGGGAACCCACTGGTGGTTCGGTTCGTCCGTGACCTGACCTACAATCCCCCAAGCCTTCAGGAACTGGCGGGACGCACAATTAAAGCTCGCAATGTTCCCTATGCTCCCAGTGATCTCCCGGAGAATCTTGTCCGGTATCTGAGCTTGGCCAGCAACTGTCCCAATCCTAAATGCGGCGGTAAGTTCACCTTCACTGCTCCGCTTCCTGCTTTTACCTGATGGGTTTTCTATCCCCATGACTTGCCATGACTTTAGTAGCTCAGCCAGGAGAGATGTGGTGTTGCCCCTGCTCTCCTGCAAACTTGTCTTGAAGGAACCTTGTTGTCATGGTTTAATGCCAGCTGGCA